TGCCGCCGAACTCTATGGAAGCCCAGGTCGGCGCCGGCCATATGTCGTTCAGTTGCCAATACAGGGCACCCATTGTCCCACCAAAGCCTGTCTGAGGGTCGACCTCACGATCGCGTCGGTAGAGCTCTGTCTGTGTCTTAATAGCCATCGCTTGCGTTATTTGCGACAAATATATTAAGTCCGCGAACCGATCCACACCTCCCGGAGCCGGCATTTCAAAGTAATTTCCTGTAATAAACATAATTTGTTATAATTAGTTAAATAAACGAAAAATGGTCATGTTTAAATATTTACCTGAAAGGCCCTCGATCACCTTGGTGCCATTAAAAAAGCCCAATCGATTCCTATGCCGGACACCGGCGCTGGTCGGGTAAGTCATGTCCGAGTCGGGCAACGCTGTCAACCAGGTGTCCAGTGATGGATAGGACAGTTGGCCGTACTCTGAGATAAACTTACCCCTCGGGTATACAGTCCAGTCCCACTGCGGGGACATATAGTTATACGAGTGTACGTCACCGTACCGTAAATCACCGGGATTTTTGGCCGTATAGTTCTCCAGCTTATCCCTTAACCCATTTGATGGACTGGAGGTCACGAATGGCCGACTGGTGTCGCCGTCGGTCACCAGTGTTTGCATGTGTTTCACAAACAACTCCCTGTAGTCCTGTTTATGTCTCTCGTCTGAAACAAACGCCGCAATGACCGCCTCGATCTCGTTGTTACCTAGGTGCAATATTTTAAAATTAAATTTTTATTATTTTCAATTAAATGTGATATTCATTTATGCTAATTAAATGTTCATGGTTGAAATTAAAGTAACTTATATGTACAGTGTATATTATATGTATGTAACAATTATGTGTACTTTATATTATACACTGTATAAGCATACAATTTTTAAATGATAAACATCATGTAGCTAATTTAAGTAAAAATAAAACTGGCCAATTTCGCGCAAACAAATATTGGTTTAAAAATTACTGACATCATGGTAAAAATATTAAACTAGATAAAACCGAAACCACAACATACCGGCCCAAATAGCGATGGACGGGTGATGTTGTAAACGACGGATCTGTTGACTTATCTCCACGTCGACCGACAACAGGAACTCCGGGTTCACGGGATAGGGAGCGCAGGCATACATCATGTCCTGCCATATCATTATTCCCAACTCATCGGCCAAACCGTAAAACACGTCCGACTCATACACCCCTCCGCCCCACACACGCAACATATTCATGTTGGCCGCGCGCGCATGGATAGGCAGCGCAGGCATACATCATGTCCTGCCATATCATTATTCCCAACTCATCGGCCAAACCGTAAAACACGTCCGACTCATACACCCCTCCGCCCCACACACGCAACATATTCATGTTGGCCGAGCGCGCAGAGACCAGCAAATCCCGGACGTAAGCCTCGGTCAGGTCCTCCTGGAGTACGTTAGCCGGTATCCAATTGGACCCTTTGGCGAACACCGGGTGTCCGTTGACCTCAAAGTAAAAGGTGAGGCCATCGCCGGGGGTCGGGCTCTGCACCAGACGTATAGTCCGGAAACCGATTCGTTTGGTCTGAGCCGACACTTCCTGACTGTCAGGGAATGAGAGCCGCACTTGAAGTGAGTATAACTGCTGTGTATTGTCGGCCACACCGTTGGGATACCACGCAGTGATGGGTATGTCCTCCGGGATTGTGATCACGAAATCGGCTTTCACTGCACCCAAGGGGTCGGCAGTGAGTCGTTGGCTGTGTTTAGCCACCAGTGGTTTGCCGTCGAGTGTTATGTCTATAATAGCATCCAATGGTGTCTGAGATCCGGTCTCTATGTGTGCGCTAACGGCAAGTGTCCAGCGATTGGGTGTTTTCGGGTCAGGTTTCGTGTCTACCATAATGTCTCGTATGACTGCCCTGTCGTACGACTCGACTCCCAGTGATTTCCATATGCCTTGTGTGGGAAAAGCCGGGCCCTAGGAGTTGGGCAAAATAATTATTATATGCTTTACATACTAATTGTAAAAGTAGATTTACTGATTAATTAAAATGTAATAAATCGCCTCTACTAATTCTACCCAAAAAAGTTTTATGTTAATGAGCTATCTCAACACAATACAAAACAACTCACATATTTGATTACAGTTTGTATTCTGAGTGAGTGAGTGAGCTGGGCAAAATAATTAACTGTTAATATTTTAATTTATAAATTATAATATACGATAAATAGATAATTATAACCTAATCTAAAATTTTATAGTGTTTAACTAATTGTTTATGTTAACGAATAATTGGCCAGTACTAATTATTAAAAATGTTAAACACTATCTCAACACAATATATACAACTAAATTGAGTTACAGTTTAATGAGAGAGAGAGAGAGAGAGAGAGAGAACAAAATAATTGTAATTATTATTAATTAATCATTTATATAAAAATCATTAAATTAATCATAAATAGATCAGTATATTTTAATCTATAACTTAAATCTATAACTTAAAAATGTTAATATAATTTTTTTATTAACAAAGTACGCGTAAGTTCCTATTATAAAACATGTTAACCATTATATCTACACAATAAATATAACTTATTTGTTAAGTTACAGTTTATAAATATGAAAGAAAAAAAGAAAGAAAGAAAGAAAGAAAGAAAGAAAGAGAAAGAAAGAAAGAAAGAAAGAAAGAAAGAGAGAGAGAGAGA